AATATAATGTATGCCTATTTTTAGACTTCAAGCCTACACTACAGGCTGATAGTTTATGAATGAGATAACCTTTCGTCTGTAGGGCTACACCCGTGGCTACACTTAGTGTGGGCCATGTAGCCAGGTAGCCTACGTGGCAGGGTCTCTCTGTACGCCTAAAATATGGTTGTAGAAATCTTGTTTATGAGAGTTATGAGCTATGGGTAAAGCTGTAAAGAGATTGTGGGTGGAGAACTGTAAATAAGTATTAGCTTCGCACTGTAGCAGTAACGAATGGGGTCAAAATACGCATGTGTTTATGTACTTTAAAACAACAGACGGCAGTGATAACAGGCTATAAATAGTCAAGGTTAAGAAGGCTTTGAACAAAATGGTAGTTGGGCCAAGATCGCCAACATCCAAATAACATGTGTATCATAATTAGCTCTTCTCTAACAGAGCAGGGAACACCAAAGCACGATTGGAACCAACGTAGATATAGTGTGTCATTCATCCTCCACGCCCCTCCTCTACCTTTATCCCTAATAATCCCAGCCTCATCCCTACGCATTCTCCACACGCAACCTCTCATTTTCTAATCTCACCCCGCTGCTTAACTCTCCTCACCCACAACTCCCACCGCTCATTGCAACCACATACATTCATTCCCCGGTCACCACCCATCTATAATAATCCCCCAACCAACTGTCCATTTACCCCCATCTTCTTCACTGCGTATCTTCTCCTACGTCCACTTCACCCCTCTACATTGACAAAACTTAATAACTAACTCAATGTCTGTAAATTGTATCAACGTGGATTCCATTTAGTCAACTCTTGGCACCAAAAATAATGAAGTTACATTTTAAAAGTGAATAAACATTTAAACTTAAACTAGTATTAGATGCAACATCTCGAAAATTTACTATAATAAAAGAACCCCCACCCAAAAAAAAAAAAAATCACCTCGAAGATGGAATATATTATATTTGTCGTCAATCAAAATTAATTTTTAAGATATTTCCAGACAACCAAAGTTAAATGACTTAATTACAATGTTTCAGATTATTTTTGATATAATTAACAATACAAGAAGGTATTGCATTAAACTGTTGTTTTTTTTTTAAACGCATTTAACGCGCTCGCAAAGACGGAGTTACAGATCTTGAAAAGTATAATTTGGCCTATAATTTATAATTAGGGCATGTGAAAAGACACATGAGAGCATCCAGGGGTCAAGTTTTAGGTAAAAAAAAATGTATGGGGGGAACTCAACCAAGACCCTCTTCCTTCCTAATAAATATATGCTTATTTGCTAAAAAATAAATACATTTATATTAGTGCTGTCTTACACTTACACATCTTTATTGCACTGGATGTACTGTGTCATAAGTGGTGATATGTCGGTAATTATGAAGGATTTGTGGAATCTTTTTTTTACAGACGTGTTCCTGTGATTGTTTAGGGTGGAAGGAACGCATTTTGGGTCATGGGAAATGTCTGGATCATGAGATCCACCTTCATGTTTTCATGACATAAGCTTTGCAGTTTTTAAAAGAAATCATGATTTTTGCGCTGCGGCTACTAGGTCGGTCGTGTATGTTTAGTAATGCTTTTATTGGTGCACGAAAATGAACGTCTATCCTGTGCACAGTGTGTAAGATAACTTTGCTGATTTCATGAGAACATTGTGTTGAGTGTTCTGTGTAAGACAGCTTTGCTGATTTCATGAGAACATTGTGTTGAGTGTTCTGTGTAAGACAGCTTTGCTGATTTCATGAGAACATTGTGTTGAGTGTTCTGGGTAAGATAACTTTGCTGATTTCATGAGAACATTGTGTTGAGTGTTCTGTGTAAGATAGATTTGCTGATTTCATGAGAACATTGTGTTGAGTGTTCTGTGTAAGATAGCTTTGCTGATTTCATGAGAACATTGTGTTGAGTGTTCTGTGTAAGACAGCTTTGCTGATTTCATGAGAACATTGTGTTGAGTGTTCTGTGTAAGATAGCTTTGCTGATTTCATGAGAACATTGTGTTGAGTGTTCTGTGTAAGATAGCTTTGCTGATTTCATGAGAACATTGTGTTGAGTGTTCTGTGTAAGATAGCTTTGCTGATTTCATGAGAACATTGTGTTGAGTGTTCTGTGTAAGACAGCTTTGCTGATTTCATGAGAACATTGTGTTGAGTGTTCTGTGTAAGATAGCTTTGCTGATTTCATGAGAACATTGTGTTGAGTGTTCTGTGTAAGATAGCTTTGCTGATTTCATGAGAACATTGTGTTGAGTGTTCTGTGTAAGATAACTTTGCTGATTTCATGAGAACATTGTGTTGAGTGTTCTGTGTAAGACAGCTTTGCTGATTTCATGAGAACATTGTGTTGAGTGTTCTGTGTAAGACAGCTTTGCTGATTTCATGAGAACATTGTGTTGAGTGTTCTGTGTAAGATAGCTTTGCTGATTTCATGAGAACATTGTGTTGAGTGTTCCGTGTAAGATAGCTTTGCTGATTTCATGAGAACATTGTGTTGAGTGTTCTGTGTAAGATAGCTTTGCCGATTTCATGAGAACATTGTGTTGAGTGTTCTGTGTAAGATAGCTTTGCTGATTTCATGAGAACATTGTGTTGAGTGTTCTGTGTAAGATAACTTTGCTGATTTCATGCTGCCACACAGCTCGCATACCTCAAGAGACTGTCCAACAGCACTGCTACGGGAACGGGTATCCTGCTATGAACAAGTACAGGAACCACGTTCCCATGCGTTCCTGCAGGACTCGAACCATCAGACCACATCTCTTTTAAAATGCGATTGTCCACCAATTTCAAATTTGTTAATAAAATTTATAAAATTCCTTATATGACTTGAGATTGCACGTACCGTGCCATGAGGAAAGGGGAGGGGGGCGGGGGGCACTATCTCCTGCCTGCCTGCTCAAAATGTCAGACTAAAAACTATCAGTAGGAGACCAGTTGGTGTGCTATGTTACCAAACTAATGTAAACTAAAGAAAATTTTTAAAAGTATTGTGGGATCACTCAAACTAACTACGCTAGTACCGTACTAGTACGTAGAGCGCAAACCCGCCCCCCCCCCCCACACACACACTATAAGTACAAAAGCAGCAAAGTTTATGATACTTTTTATTATATTCAAAAGTATGTCCTGAGTGCAGCAGAAACGCATGGGAACCTCGTTCATGTCCATTTTTCACATCAGAAGTCCGTTCCCGTTAGCAGTTCTGTGGGACTGACTCTTACTAAGTACGGACAACATGCTTCAGATTATGGCTAGTTGCAGAACCCATATTATGTTAGGCACTTTGTCTTGCCATCGAATGCTTAGAGTGCGTCGCAGTCATCTTGGGTGGAAGATGATGAATTTCCGCTCGGGACAGGCAAGTATGTGG